CACATATGTATGGCTTCCCTGGAGTTATTCCAGCCAAGTCTACCTCAACCTCATTGGCCTCGTGACCAATATGATTGATGGTATAGTCTAAGTTTGGGAAGTAAGATCCCCTTGAGGCACTCCTACGGTTCTCTTCCTCATGTAGAAGAGACTCATACCTCACAGCACAAGACATGAGTTGAAACAAGTCAGAGAACTCTCTATCTTGGAATTTCTTTCTTAGTTCAAAACTTAAGCCCCCTTGTGCCAACTTGACGAACTCCCTCTCCGTCAAGTTGACAAAGCAACGGTTACGGGCATTCTTGAAGTTAGTCAAGAAATGCTCAACCGATTCTCCTGGCTGTTGGCGCATACGTGCCAAGTCAGCCATGGACACCTCGGGCTCAGATCTGTAAAACTGAGCGTGGAAGACTTGTTCCATCTGTTGCCAAGTCTGGATGGAGTTAGACGGCAAGTTGACATACCAAGCAAAAGCTGGTCCTGTCAACGAGTTTCCAAACAGTCTTAACTTAACAAAATCTCCTACATCGCCACATTGGACAGTGAAACGTCCAACGTGCTCTACAGTGGACTGATCTCCAGTCCCTGTGAATGTGGCAAACTCGGGAACTCTGAATCCCCTTGGAAATGGGTAAAGTCTATCTACCCATTCTGGGTACGGCTTACGGTATACAGGTGGCATAGCAGGTCTTACTCCCATGCCAAACTGCTCCGTGAGGAGTTGAGCCACTTGATCCCTAAGGGTGTTGGCTTCATGCCCCCCATGTTTCCCCCCATACGGTGCAAAACCAATGGGGTCCATGCCATGCCCATTGAAATGGGGTGGCGTTGGAGTTGGGTAGCCTCGAGGTGGGATTTGATCCATGTTACCACCTAGGCCTCCTCCTACCCCCAAATTCACGGGAGCCACGTAGGGTCTTGCCTCCGGGATAGAGGGACGAGCACCCACTTGCACGGGTGGCTGCTCAACTCGAGTGTTGAACATGGTGGCGAGGTTCTCACCACGCGGGGGTACCACTTCAACTCCCACGCGTGCCTGTGACGATTCCCCCACTTGAGTTGTAGCAGGAATCTCGACATCACCTACTCGACGTGGAGGTGGTTGGCTTGCCGTTTGAGGCGACAAGTTCTCTTGCCGTGGTTGGCCATTCCGGCCACCGGCGGGAGAAAGAACATTATTAGTAGGCGTTAGGCCTGTGCCATCTAATGGCAAAGCTCTTGACTGCCCTACTGGTCTAGTTAGAGTTTGTCGAAACTGATCCAACTCATTTGTGTTTTTGTTAACCACCTCAAATAATTGACTGAAACGTCTATCAATGCGAGAATTGAGACAGTCCATTTGAGAATTTACCTGATGTGTACTGGCCCGAGTCTCCTCCATCATGCGGCGGTTCTCCACCAGCATTTGGCGGTTCTCCTCTGTGGCTCGAAGGTTGTCAGCCACCATCCTGCGGTTCTCTTCTGTAGCTTGACGGTTCTCTGCCACCATCTTACGGTTCTCCTCCATCATCTGACGAAGGGCCCCCACTGCATCGCCGAGATCTCCACCAGGCGCGGTCGCCATCAAGATCTCTGCTCCACCGTTTCCTCCGGTCACCGCGTCGGACGCTTGGCCATGCTCGATGTTGGCCACCTGCCCCTCCACGAATCCAGCCGGAACGTCACCTTCATGGTTCCTCCGCCTCGGAGCCATTGAATCGACCACAAGTGTCCCACCAGGTGTGCCAAATTTGTTCTCCGGCGAGAAAACTTGCGTTGAATTGATATTGATTGCACCTTGACTTCTTTGGACAACGATCACTAAGACACGGTTCACACCTCTTCAAACACAGTTCGAACGAGGGTGATCGATGTTTACACGACTCTTGAGACAGATCTACATTAAGTTACTCCTACTCCTATGGAGGTTCAGTGAGAGCTCCAGATCTACGACTACGGTTAAAATTGCAGAGGAAAGGATAAAGGGATAAAATTTGACATAGTGTTGTCTGGTGTGAATTTGGCGACCCTCTTCTCTGACAACTCTTCCTCCTATTTATAGGCTTGAGGTGATAACCGTCGTAGAAAACTGTCTGGAGAGTAACTTGCAAAAAGAACGGCTTCCCTTCTTTCCCGGACGTGGCTGACGTGTCCTTGAACGTGGAGTAATTGACAGTTTCTCAATCAAACCGTCGGCTCTCCCTTTTGGAACTGACGTCTTGTTACTTGCCCTTTCCTTTACCATGGCTATTCCAGATCTCGCGATAAGGCGGTTTGTCAAACATGATGACAATGCTACGAGGTGGTTTACCAAACTTGGCGCGACGAGGCTTGGCGCGACGAGGCTTGTCGCGACGAGGCGGTCTACCAAACTCTACGCGAGGAGGCTTGGCGCTTAGACTTAGTAGAGGCTTGGCGGACTTGCGATCAGGTGGCCTGGCGGACTCGCGAAGTGGCCTGACACGAGGAGTCTTGGCGCTTGAACTTAGTTTATTTTGTGTCCTTCTCCCCACATATCTTGTAGACTCGCGATGTGGTTTAGACAAGGCGGTTTGTCACGACAAGGCGGTCTACCAACTTGACGCGAGGAGGCTTGTCGCGATGAGGCACCAGACTTAGTTTATTCTCATGCGTCATGTCAGGCCTAATCATTTGGGTTTAAAAATCTAGTATCGTAGGCCCAGTTTAAATAACATTAATTGTTATTGTTGATCTGGCCTTATAAAGACAGTTAATGTCTTGTAAATAATCAATGTGGTACACGATTATTTTTGTAGTGTAAACATCCTGATAAGCCAAATTAGGGTTTCGGAGTATCCGGAAGCCGGATTGAGCCCAAATTTCATATACGAGCTTCCTGCAGCGAGGTAATCAATCCTCTAGTTCTAATCCCTGAATTTCGGCTATTATTTAGGCCGGGGTCCAAACCGCTGAATTTAGCTCCGGCCAGGGTTTGATGTATTTTTATCAAGAATTTGACCCGGAGCCTATAACGAATATTGACGGCGATACTGCAGGGGATATTAGGGCGGTCTCGGATTTTAATTCGGGGTTCGTTCGTGAAATTGACGTTTTAGTACGGGAAGGTTAAACCGGTGTTTGAACTACCAGAACTGGTGAGGGATTAGCACGGCATACCGGGTTTGTCGTATCACGATAATTATATTGATGCTTAGAATTGACCTAGGTGAACTAGAATGGCATGATTAGGGGTGTATGGACTTTTGTGCTATATGATGAACCCTGGACTGCTATATGATATTATTGACTTGCCCTAATCGATATGGACCTGGCTTATGCTGATGATTGTGTATATGTTGCAAATTGTGGGCTTGACTGTTGATATGCCTTATGATGGTTCGAAAAGGTGATAGGGTATGATTGTTCATGATTGTTGTATTTGGATGCACATGTGGGAAAATATATATTCTCTGGTGATATTATGATCTTTAAGGAGGATGACTTGCACGAGGGTTTATCCCGAGGAAGTGCAATTATACGACTCCTGATTTACCTATGTTGAGCCAATTATGGCCGGGTCAAGTACATGTGTAAGTAACGAATTATGATTAAGCAAGATGAGATATGGATCATGTATAAGGACATCAAGTAAGAGTGATTTGGTCTCATGGTCAATTACATAGTAATTAGGGCTCCCCATGCTATTACTCCGTTATGATATGTTATGTCACACCCCTGATGTGGTGTTGACCGTTGATTCATCATGAGATATGACCACACCCAGAGTGGTGTTGAGTCCGATATGACCACACCCATCGTGGTGTCAGGTCCGATATGACTACACCGGCAGTGGTGGGTCCGATATGACCACATCCACGAGATGTTTGGTCCGTATTCCCGGGAGAGTAATTAGCATGGGAGTAGCCAGGCGCCTATAAGTAAAACATGATAAGATGCATATGCATAAGTCAAGGTGGTTGAGTCTTTTGCCTATTGGGATGTCGGATGCCTGAGGTCTGATCCTAGTGCTTTGGCTTATTTGCTAGATGTATGGTAGAGGTATGCTCTGTTATGAACTCACGATGCTATGATTATCTCACTCAGCTATGAGCTGACCCTCTTTATCCTTTTTCTCTGCTTATGCCATGTGTAAGCAGATCATCGTCATCAGCAGTAGATAGTTGTATAGGTGGGAGCTGAGCAAGAGTTGAAGGCAAGATGAGGTATGGTCTTCAACTATTCTGTGCTTGGACTACTACTCGGGATTTTGGCCAGTGATCCACACCTTTTTGTAAAATGTTTTGAGAACGTTTTTCATGTGCATACTAGCTTCTGATGTAGTGTGAGATATCCACATGCGTGGAAAGTTGATGATATGTGTATATTGTGTAATTATGTAAGTTGTGATGATTATAGCATGTATCAGTATAGTATGCAGTTGTGTAGTATGAAACTGTGACTATGGCTATAAAAAGCCAATGCATATGGTTGTGAGTATATATGTTTGTGATGAATTATTTTGCAGAATAAGTTGCAAGAACTGTTAGCCCATTACGCGAGTAATTCATGTCGAAATTTTATTTGGGTAAATTTTGATAATTAGTGTAACACCCGAGATTAATTCCGCTGCAATTGTATGAACAATATGATTAGGTAATACGTACAGGGTAGGGTGTTACAAAAATTTTATTTTTTAGTTAGAAATGAGGTGGAAATATAAATAATTAAAATTTATTTATTTTATTAGTTTTTAATTGCCATGTTATACATTTAACGGTCAACTATAAGAGTTAACTGTCACATAAGTAAAAATTAACGAAGTTGGATGAAGAGTGACCAAACTTGAAACATTTAATTAATTTTAATGACCACCAATGAAATTAAATATTTTTAGTGATCAAAAGTGAACGAGTTTAATAATCCTAGTGACCAGCTTGCAATTTACCCGAATTTTTCTTTATAGAAGAAAGTTGAGCTGAAAAGCAAGGTTAACAGGGGGAGGCCGGGAGGGAGAACGATTGTTATCCAAATTGAAGCAGAAAATTGATCAAGGGGCGTCCGCGTGCGCTACAGGGAACAGCACGAGCCATTCCCCGGAAGGGCAGAAGAATGGGCTTGCAGTTGCAAGGAGCGCACTGTGTTCCTTCCATGGTAACCCCTGTTTACAGGCACAGTTCTCCTCGAAGGCCTCTCGGTATCCCTTCTCTGTGCTTGGCTTGCAGCGTCAAACCCAGTTCCGACCATCTCCGATCTCAGCTTCACCAGCTCCGCTCCGAAGCCAACACCGCCAGAGACGACGGTATTCGTGTTTTTTTGCTTCATTTCTGAGTTCCTTCTCTCTTCATTTCCTAGTTGATGTCGTAGTACGGCTGCCATGTTGTAGTTATGATCCGAGTTCTCTATCAGGTACTTTGTTTGCTAAGGTATGTCGATGTTGAAAATGCTTCGAGGAGATACTGTAACCATGGGTTAAGGAGGAATAGGGTGGGGACGGAAGCAGAATGGTGTATTGGTATTTGGTTCTTTTAAGTGCAGTCACAGATTGGACTTAAGGGTTTGCCTGAAGCTTCATTTCTTCAACTAGGGCCTACTTCCCCACAGAACTCTATGCTTTGCTTGCCATTCCTAGCATATAATTTATCTTTTTATTTATTTATTTATTATCTGCCTCAAATTTTGGGGTCTCGCCTCTGTTTGTTGAACGATGGTGTGATTGGAATTATGAGGTTTAAGGTGGGGATGTTGGTTTGCCCCGGTGTCAATGGTTTTTTAAGTTCTAGTTGGTCATAAATTGCATTTGAACATCTGGTTAGCATTTTTGTGCGCCTTTTTTACAATGTACCCTTCAAGTAAGGTAATCTGTAGCATATTATTCCTTAAGAACAATAATCTGACAAAATCGTATTGCTCAAATATAACCAGCCAATAGTGCAAGGCTGCGGATGATGAGACTGTCAGAGGCAGCAGAGAACCTCAAACGACAGGCAGCTGTAAGTGTTCAGACCGGAAGGGAAAATGATGCAAGACAACTGCTTTTCCAGAAGAAGAAGGTTATGCAGGCTATTGATAGGTCAAAGGGTCGCATTGAATTGCTTGATGAGCTTTGTGCAAAGCTCAATGAGGTGCATATTTTATCCTGATGTTCTCATAGCGTGGTGGTGTATGAGCTTGGATGTCGTTTCACTTGTAAATTATATTTTATTTCTCAGGCTATCTCTAAGAAAGAAACCCAGCTGATTGGCAATCTTGCCTCAGATCTCGAAGTTGATGTGGATGATGCTTCTGGTCCGGTTCGTGTTGTATCTCCCAAAGCTGCTGAAGGGTTCCCCAATGGTTTAGATGATGCCAAAGACCTATCTTCCAATGGCATGGATATCTCCCATATGCACAAGCCCCAGTCTTGTGGCAATGGGAACTTTAAGCTGGGATATCTTGATGTGGGTATCTCAAATGAGAATCTTGAAAACACAGGGTTAAGTGGCATATCTTCTTACTATGACTTCTTGGAGCACATAGATACACAGCTTAACAAGATCGAAGCACAATTAGTCACAGTCCTAAATGTTTCTGCGTGGATTCTGATTAAAGAGAAGACACCTGATATTTCAGAAGTGAAGCAAACAGAAGAGCTTTTGTCCAGCATTCGTGTTGTTCGACAGCAGTAAGTGCCTTGTGACTTAGATAAAAAGATTGATCATGTTGTCTGAGGTGGTAGCTTAAAATGTTCCCCATTTTATTTTGCCTTGACAGAGTTGCAGAGATGATGGAAGGTAAGGTGGAAATCTGAGTCCCCACTAAGCTTTCATTCTCCCTTGCTAGCATGGAAGAGAAATTGGCTTGGCACTGGCAGAGAAAATGGCTTGGCACTGGCAGAGCTGTCATTCTCCCTTGCTATCACTGTAAAGAATAGCGGAGACAGAGAAAATGGCTTGGCACTGGCAGAGCTGTTGTTGAACAATGGAGAGCTTGCTTGGTGAGAAGATTACAAAGTTCGGAGACAGCAGGAGAGCAATTAAGTAGACAAGTGAAATTTGTATGATCTCCACTGTTCCTCTACAAAGTAGATGATCCAGTAATTAGTCCTCTGGAAGTCAAAGCTTGGTGTCAAGATTACCATGATGGGCAGCTGGAGGAGAGCCTAACAAAGAACGCATGGATGTTCCTTCTCGATTTACATGATCTTGTTAATACCATGTAAATGTCGAAAGCTTGTTTTCCGTTGGCAGCATAATTTTGGCTGTTGAGTAGTTTCATTTGCTTTCCATTGAACTTGTAAGACAAAGATTATGGAAAGTTCTGAAGTTGCCAGGATATGAGGACAGCCTTTTGGGCCAAAACCTATCCTCTTCCTTTACAAGACTCGACTATGAAATGAGGACTGATGTGAAGATTAGGGCTGTCATTTCGGTTGCGGCCGGTCTAACCATTAACCGCCGGTTAGCGGCTAACCGAAAACCGAGGAATACGCGCATCGGTCGGTGGCCGGTATAGATTAGTGATTCGTCGGCTTGCCGATAAACCGGAGCCGGTTAATCGGCTAACTGATGCAACCGACCGACAAGAGACGGTGTCGTTTTGCCAGCAGCAGATCTAAAACCCTCCCAACCCTACCTTCGTCATCTTCGACTCACAGCAGCAGCCAGCACTGCCGCCTCCTCCACCCTCCCAAAGTGACAATCCAATCCCCGTCGTCTCCCCGCGTTCCACCGCCGACCGTCGCCTTTCCGAGACGCCGCCGAGACATCGTAGTCGCAGGGCCGCCGAGACCTTCGAACTTCCTTCCTCGCACGACAAGCGCCCTGCCTGCCAGCATCTCCCCGCCGGCGCTAGGTCTCCGAGACCCACTCCTCCGCATTCTCCAGTTCTCCCTGCCCCTCCTTGTCCTCCTCCCCCGCCGGCGCTAGGTCTCCCGTCTCCGAGACCCCTCCTCCGCCTTCTCCCTGCCCCGCCGGCGCCTTGTCAATCTCCGTCCGTCTCTGCAGATCTATTCATCCATGGAGAAAGAAGGAGAGAGAAGGAGAAGTGGTTTGGTATAGTATGGTGGGTGTGAAATGGTGGAGGAAGGAAGGAGAGAGAAGGAGATAAGGATTGACCGATTAAGTGGTGGAGAGTTTTTGTTTTTTTTAATTAATTTTTAGTTTTTTTTTTTTTAGAGAAGGTAGGTATTTTCGGTTGGCCGGCTAACCGAGCCTAAAACTGAAACCGACCGGTCAGTTGGCCAGCTAACCGTGACCTCCCTCGCGGTTGGTGGTCGGCAACTGTATGGGGTGGCTCGATTTAATCGATCACCGAATTTTCGATTTTTGGTTAAACCGAAACCGACCGACTGCCACCCCTAGTGAAAATCATCCAAGTCTGGAGTCCAGATAAGCTCATAATGCCATATTGCCATTTGTTTTCATAACCACTAGTGAAAGTATTTATTATAGTAAAATATTTCATCGACTCATTCATATAGGGTGATTATCATAAATGGTCATACAACTTATCACTTAGTACAAAACGGTGACTACATTTTAATTTTTCATGTTTCAATCAAATACGTTTGGACGTATCACAAAACGGTTAGTCCGTCATTCTCCGTTCAAAAATCTGTTAACTTGGTCCAGTCAGTTATCCCATCAACATCCATGTCATCGAAATAATTAATAAAAGGGTCAATTCCACCTTTGATCACTAACTTTACTAAAACGTGTCATGTTTAGTCACTAAAAAAGATTAATATCAATTTTGACCTCGAATGACTGAAACAGTCAACATTTAGTCACTCTCCGTTAGTCTCCGTCCAACTCCGTTAATGAAATATGTTATGTGCTGACATGGCTAACAGAATCGCCTAGTCAGCATCGTTTTGGGCCGAAAATGATGAAACCCAACCTGCCACTTCATCAAACCCACCATGTCATATGCCCAACCTAACCCATTAACCTAACCCGACCCATAAACCAAACCAAACCCCACTGAAATCCTAAAATGCAAAATAAATCTGGTTTGAGACCATTTCTCCTTCCTCGTGATCCCCAGGTGCGTTCCTCTTCCATTTTGATCAAAATCTTCAGAAGCTCAAACACCACCGAACGTGCCGGTGAAGGACTATGTAATGGAGTCGATTGGAACAGAGATCAAAAGGGAAACACCCAGCAACATGGACTTCAAGTTCAACTCCATCAACCAGCAACCAACCAATTACCACGATCAGCAAAAAGAAGGAAAGGCAAGCGATTGGATTGTTAGGCCTCTCGACGAGAAGGAGAAGGAGATTCTCAAAAAGGAAAGGAAAAGGGTACCAAGGGAATGGTGAAAAGAAGAATGTGAAGAGCTGGAGAAGAATAAGAAGAAAGAACGACAGCAAAAACCCATTCGCACGCTCCCTTAAAGCCAGATCAGAACTAGGGGTGGGAGTTCGGTTTCGGGTTTTCGCTTTAAACCGAACCCGAACCGACAAGGGGTTATATACTTTTGGGTTTTCCGGTTCCGACCCGAAAGGTGCTATAACGCTTTTGGTTTCGGTGAACCCGCAAACCCGATAAGGAAACCGCAAAACCGAAATCCAGCAATTGGCTCCCATAGTGACGTTTTGAAACCATATAGTCTTTAATTACTATATTAATCGCGTATGGGAAAAAGGGTAAGCATTTAATCACATTGCTAATGACTTTTTACAAAAAAAAAAAAAAACTTTGCTAATGACCGCTTATAATTCCAACGGGTTTACTGCTATAAATACCTTGTCAGTGATTAGCCGAATCCATTAATTGGGCTCCCATGGTGACGTTTCGAAATCATAGTCTTTAATTAGTAATTAATTACTATATCAATCCCACTTGCTTTATACGTTTTGCTTTATTACTCCCATTTGTTAATCCCATCAATCTCGCCATTAATTGATCATAATTGGATTAAATTTAATCTAATTAATAATTACCTAGATTAATTGATCGTAATACTTGCTAATCCCATGCATATAGACGCCGGCTAAGGTAACAAGTCTTTTGGTCAACTTATGGTACGTTTTGCTTTATTACTCCCATTTGTTAATCCCATCAATCTCGCCATTAATTGATCATAATTGGATTAAATTTAATCTAATTAATAATTACCTAGATTAATTGATCGTAATACTTGCTAATCCCATGCATATAGACGCCGGCTAAGGTAACAAGTCTTTTGGTCAACTTATGGATTTTATCACGTCATAAGTGCTTTAGCTTCGGGTTTCGGTTTCAGTCTAACCGAACCGAACCCGGTAAAGACATCTTCGGGTTTTGGTACCTGAAACCCGAAACTTCCCATATCGTTCGGGTTCGGTTTGTAAACAAAGCGGGTTTCGACTTTTTGGGTTTTGTTGGTTTTGGTTCGGTTACCCGAACCCAAACCGATCCGGCAGCCCTAATCAGAACAAGCTGTCGGTGCTTCTAGTGACCGGATCTTCCCCAAAGTCAAATTTCAAGATCGAGTTCCTCACCTATTAAAACCTAGCACTCAAATCTCCCAAAATCACCCTCTCAAATCTCCCCAAATCTTCTCCCCTGTTCAAACCCACAAAACTCATACATGAAGTCTACGAATCCAATCCCTGCGACTGAAGAATCGGACCAGTCAAAGCTGGCATCCCAAAGTAAAATTTCAAGATCGAGTTCCTCACCTCGGCTATAGGAGCTCCATGTTGTTGTGGTTGTCCTTGGCAACGCCTCTTGTCATGACCAGGTTGTCTGCACTTGGAGCATCGCTTCGGTCCTCGCCTCGTGCGTTCAACTTGATCCATCTCATTGTGTATCCTTTCAACTCTAGGACGACCCTTGGTGCGTTTTAGGTGCAAAGGTGGGATAATCAACTTTCCAGCCTATATAGGCCAATACGCTTCATCTGGCATGGGACTCAAAGTTGCATCATATGAGTTTCGTATCGCTTGTTCAGTGTAGTAAGGATTCACCAGAGTGTTTCTGTTCATGGTTAATGACTTAGCTACTGCCATTGCATGTGAACAGGGTATCCTCTCGTTTTGATATTTTTGACATGTACACTCCCCTGATTCATAGTGCAGAGTAACCGGTTGACGATTGTGGCCACGTCTACCTCCACCCCATACACCTGTTTCCACTGCAAATATCCCTTCACTGCGATCAAAAAGAAGAACTTTATGCTTACTTGATTTTTCTTCGTTCTTCTGCATTTGCTCAAAAACGTCATGTGCTATCGGATGACTAGATATCTCCCTCCCTATCGCTAGCTGCAGCCGAGCCACCCGCCACTCGTTGACCTTCCAGTATGACATCTCCACTATGACAGAAATAGGCATCGCTCGAAGGCCCTTGTACACATTATTTATACTTTCTCCATGGTTGGTAGTTGCAATGCCCCATCTGATATGATCCAAATCCGAAGAGAACCCTCGAACTCGGATTATATAACCAAAGTACGCAGCCGTCCTTTTTAAGGATTTTCGAAGCTTTTCTTGAATACGAAAAAATAAAGATAGATGCGGAATCAATCGGACAATCCCAACTCGTGACAAAGGGCAATTGGTATATTAAACCAATCGGACAGAATCAACTCGTGGAAAGGGGCAATTGATATAGGGTAGATGCTCGCCACAACTAGACGCGTTCTCTAGTTGATAAGAGACACGTACAATCTCCTGGAATCCTCGACAGAAGTATTGCACAAAAGAACTCGTTCACAATGAACTAGAACTCAACTTTGATTAATAACTTGAATAATGAGTATTGGGTACAAAATTCGTAGCTCTTACATCCTCTATTTATAGAGGTCTCAAAAACATAAAACTAACCTAAAAGGAATAGGAAAACAAATCCCAAACTAAATAGGAAACA